GAAAAAGGAAAAAAGGGAAAATGTTGGAAAATGAAACTAGGTTAGCCGTTTTGGGCTTTTTTTGCATTAATAATAATTAATGAAGAATTAGGATTATGTAAATTTAAAGTTCAAATAAAAGGATTAATACAACATTTTGATATTATTAATAATTTAATTTTAAACATAATCGTTGAATTATATATTGGAGTATGGTTAATGTGTGTTTAAAAATGTTTACATCCAAGATATAAAAACACTAGTTATTTCATATTAGATATTAGAATAATAAGTCATTTATTTATAAATCCCTCTTTATTTATTTATAATTCACGTAATTTAAATTATTTTCTTATTTTTCATAAGTTCTATAAGTGATATACTTATTAAAATATCCTTAATAATAATAGAATAAAATGTGCATTAATATTCATATTTGACATGTGAATATTTACATTGACAGACCTTAAGGGTCAAAAAAAGATTTGTAAAGGCAAAATTGTCCATAAAATATTTTAAATATGAGAATTAGAATTTGGTAGATCAAATATTTAAATAATAAGACATATTGAAATATAAGAATATGTTATAAACTAATTGCGATACAAATATTTAAAAGATAATTTGGTAATAAATTTCTGTAGATAATGCGTCAATGATGTTATTCACCTTGTTTGCTATAGTTTTTTGAATTCAATTTCTAAAAATTTAGTTTTTTTTATTTTTTATTTTTTTTTTGTTTTTAGTGAAATTTAAAAATATTTGAAGTAATTTTTTTTTTTACTTTTTAGATGCACCTAACCTAGATGTATCTAAAAAATAAAATTATTTTAAAAATAAATAAATATACAATAATATGAAAATATACTGTATTTTAGTTTTTATTTATTTATATTTTTAGAGATTTTTTCATAAATATTATACTTTTTAATTGTATTTATATTAAGTGTATTTAAAGTGTAAAAAAATTGCTTAAAATATTAAAAAAATTTACTAAAAAAAATACAAAAAAAAAATCAAATTTCAAAATATTAAATTCAGAAAATTGAAATAAAATAAAGGATTAGATTTTAAAAAATATAATGCTATATGCATCAATTGGTATATTAATTAATGTACTAACATATGATGTAACATAATTTTAAAAGTTTTAGGTATTTATAATTTATATAATGGGTGAGATTAGTAATAATGTTATAATATATGTTAGTATATTAATTTGAATATTAATTAGTACATGTAGTATTATTAATTTTAAAATTATATATTGATGAACATTTTAATTTGCAAATGAATAAATATAATTGAGAGGCATGACATTTTTTTATACGGTGGTGCTGCATGTATTAATTTATGTACCAACTAGTATTATGACATTATTATTGACTCCACCCATTATACAAATTATAAATACCCAAAATTTTTAAAATTATGTCACATCATTGGTTAGTACACCAATTAGTTTATATAACATTATTTTCTTTATATGCATCAATTGATATATGCTAATTAATGTACTAACATAATTTTAGAAATTTTGAATATTTATAATTTATATAATAAATATAACCATAATTTTAAAATAATAATATTATAACATATATTAGTACTAATCAATATACGAAAAATGTTTAGAACCTCCTTTAGGGATGACCTCCACACCTTCTCCATATATGTGTGGGGTCCACTCATGTATATGTGAGATCCACATCATGAGTGATTTAGATTTGTGAGGGTTTTATAGGTGCAAAAATGATTTAGAGCTCTAAGCCTCCGTTTGGGAAGTGAGTTGGCTTTTTGATTTTTTGACTTTTTTGACTATTTTAGCCTGGGCTAAAAAACTTGGTTTGGGAAGGACTTTTTGATTTTTTGGCTTTTTTGACTTTTTTGTGAGATAAGAGTGTAATGATTATGGGTTGGATATGATGTTTTGTTTTTTGTGGCTAAAATAACTTATTTTATTTTTTGTGACTAAAATAGCCAAAAAAACCCAGAAAAGCCCTTCCTAAACGGACCCTAAAAAATGAGCTCTAAATCCATCACTAGTAGGGGTGTGCGCGGTGTGGGTCGGTGCGGTTTGAGAGAAAAATAGAAACCGTATGGCGGGTGGCGGATTGATAAAAGTGTCACTAGAATTTGCCATTTTTCTTATCAAAAACCGGCGGTTCGGTTGGCAAATAATGGCGGATTTGCCTTGGCGGTTCGGGCGGATTGGGGGTTTATAAAAAATATAATTCAAATTTCAAAACTTAAATCAATGAGTAAAAAAAAGACGAGAGATACCGTGATGTTAAGCATCTTGCGGAACTTTCTTCTGATGTAGCAAGTGTAGCAACAACATGATAATATCAACGACTATGCCATCAATTCATTACAAGAATTTGTGGAAGCTACAATGATCAAATACAATACATAAAATTAATATCATTCAGGGTTTACAATATACTAAAAATGTTTACTGTTGAAAAGTATTTAGATTGAAAAGTGAGCTGATGCAAGTTTGCAACATGGCCAGAAAAAAAAAAGATTGAAAAGTGAATTGGAATCCAACTTTATTTTGGATTACTGACGTCTTGAATTCCCCTCGAGCAGTAATGTAATACTGTATTCTAAGGTACAGAACAACAAGCAAACTTAAGTAAAAAAGAATTTTTAGAATCTTATAAAACATGATTTAATAGCGGTGCGGGTTGGTGCGGTTTGGAAGAAAAATAGAAACCAGCGGATTGATAAAAGTGTCACTAGAATTTGCCATTTTTCTTATAAAAAACCGGCGATTCGATTGGCAAATAATAATGAATTTGCCTTGGCGGTGCGGTTCGGTGCGATTTTGACGGTTTCGGCGGTGTCGGCAGTGTCGGCGATATTATGCACACCCCTAATCACTAGTGTGTTGGCAGTGGGGTCCAGTGATGGACTGTGTCTTGTTTTTTTTTTTTTTTTTATTTCCTCCATGCCAGCTCATTAGAGCTGGCATTAGAGCTGCTGGATCAGAGCTCTCCAGCAGTGCTCTTTGTAGGTGGGGGTCTCAATTATTACTCTTAATATACGGTACCACTATCATTATGGCATATTTTGAGAAGTTAGATAAAAAAAATTGACTTTTTGATTTTTTTAATTTATTTTGTCTTTTTGTAGGTAAGTTATGTGAGAAGTAATGTGACCTAAAAAATTGGAAATTGATTTTTTACCAACTTTCCAAAAGACTCCTATATAAGTGTGTTATATCAAGAACTTCAAATAAATTACTCCCTCCGTCTCAAAATATTAGTCCCTTATTTCATTTTTTATTGTCCCAAAATATTAGTCCCTCTTGAAAAATCAAGTACAAAAATAATATAAATTTTTTATTTTGCACTTCTTTTAAATTAATAAACAATATAAAAAGTACAATTATGACATTGATATTCTCCAAAAAATGTAATATCAAAGGGTAATTTTGAAAAATTAATTTTTTTAAAGTGCAATGAAGTGGGTTGGCTTTTTGACTTTTTTGGCTATTTTAGCCTGGGCTAAAAAACTTGGTTTGGGAAGGACTTTTTGATTTTTTGACTTTTTTGACTTTTTTTGTGAGAGAATAGTATAATGATTATGGGTTGGATATGATGTTTTGTTTTTTGTGGCTAAAATAACCTATTTTGTTTTTTGTGGCTAAAATAGTCAAAAAAACCCAGAAAAGCCCTTCCTAAACGGACCCTAAAAAATGAGCTCTAAATCCATCACTAGTGTGTTGGCAGTGGGGTCCAGTGATGGACTGTGTCTTGTTTTTTTTTTTTTTTTTATTTTATTTCCTCCATGCCAACTTATTAGAGCTGACATTAGAACTGCTGGATTAGAGCTCTCCAGCAGTGCTCTATCCAATATCACAACATTTGATTTAAAATTCACATCTATCTAGATGGAGCCCGAATGTAAATCCAGATCATCATATTCCAATCTTTGAAACAAAATATAATATTCTTAATTACCTAAAAAGAAAAAGAAAAAGAAAAGGTAACCAATGAGAGAGAGAGGGGGTCAAAGGGGGTGGGGGAAAAAGGGGGGATGAATCATTACTCTTACTCTTAATATACGGTAGCACTATCATTATGGCATATTTTGAGAAGTCAGATAAAAAAAATTAATTTTTTGATTTTTTTAATTTATTTTGTCTTTTTGTAGGTAAGTTATGTGAGAAGTGATGTGACCTAAAAAATTGGAAATTGATTTTTTACCAACTTTCCAAAAGACTCCTATATAAGTGTGTTATATCAGGAACTTCAAATAAATTACTCCATTCGTCTCAAAATATTAGTCCCTTATTTCATTTTTTATTGTCCCAAAATATTAGTCCCTCTTCAAAAATCAAGTACAAAAATAAATATAAATTTTCTATTTTTTCTTTCTTTTAAATTAATAATAAAAAGTACAATTATGACATTGATATTCTCAAAAAATGTACTATCAAAAGGGTAATTTTATAAAATCAACTTTTTTTAAATGCAATAATTGTACTATCAAAAAAAGTTAAATTCCTCAAGAGAGATCATTATTTTGATACAGAGAAAGTTTTAAATTTTATATCAAATTTCTCATATGACATATATATTTGTGTGAATCTCACATTTATTTAAGAAATTTAATAATTTATTTAAGTTTCCTAGAATTTTTCTATAAATATTCCTATCTAAATTTTGTTTACATTAATGAAAAAAAAAAAAAAATCTAATTGATGCGCCTAGTTGTCTCCAGCTGTAAAAACCACCAAAAACAGACAGTCGTGTCCAGCTGTCAATCCCACTCCCAAAAATTTCGAAAAAATTTACAATTCAAATTTAACCGCTGGTCTTTCTATCTATCCGTTACCCACCTCGAAACTCGCGGATCCACATTTCAAATTTCAAACCAAAAATTCCATTCCCATACCCATATATATTACCCCCCCGCTTCTCCTCTCCTCCTCTCTCTCAATCTCACCCCCCTCTCTCCCCTCTCTCAACCCTCTCAAATCCTCTCTCTCTCTTCCTCTCAAACACCAAAAAATGCGTGAAATTCTTCACATTCAGGGCGGCCAATGCGGCAACCAAATCGGCGCCAAGTTCTGGGAAGTGGTCTGCGCCGAGCACGGCATCGACCCCACCGGCCAATACCTCGGCGACTCAGATCTCCAACTTGAGCGAGTCAATGTATACTACAACGAGGCTAGCTGTGGCCGCTTCGTCCCTCGAGCCGTTCTCATGGATCTCGAGCCGGGTACCATGGACAGCGTCAGATCCGGGCCCTACGGTCAGATTTTCCGGCCCGACAACTTCGTTTTCGGTCAGTCCGGCGCCGGAAACAATTGGGCTAAAGGGCATTACACCGAAGGCGCAGAGTTGATTGATTCTGTTCTCGATGTTGTTCGCAAAGAGGCTGAGAATTGTGATTGCCTACAAGGTATTTGATTAAATGTTTCATCGAAATTTGATTAAAAATTGCAAATTTGGTGAATGATTCGATTGTTTGTTTGATGTGGTGTAGGTTTTCAGGTGTGCCATTCATTAGGAGGAGGGACAGGGTCAGGAATGGGGACTTTGTTGATTTCAAAGATTAGGGAAGAGTACCCAGATCGGATGATGCTGACCTTCTCGGTTTTTCCATCTCCGAAGGTCTCTGATACGGTTGTGGAGCCTTACAATGCGACCTTGTCTGTTCACCAACTCGTGGAAAACGCAGATGAGTGTATGGTTCTTGACAATGAGGCTTTGTATGACATTTGCTTCCGTACCTTGAAGCTCACCACTCCTAGTTGTAAGTTTTTCTTTCAAACTTTAAGCCGTGAATTGTGGGTTTGTTCTCTGATTTGAATCAGATTGCTTACTAATATTTGTATGTTTTAGATTAGTGATTTCATCTCTGATTTTTAACCATCTATGTCTGGGAATTAGTTGAGGATATTTTAAAATATAGGTCTTCTCTGCTAAATTAATTAGGTATGAATGAAAGTTTGATCTTTATACATCTAGAAAAAGTTTTGTTGCTCTCAGATAAATTTGTAGATGCACTGAACAAGGGGGTATTTAAATTTTATTTTTGAAGCAACAAATGCTTCCCTGGCAATAAAATTGTCCTGTAAGATGTCATTGTGAGATGTTGAGTTGACTAATGTTGATTTTCGAATTTTGATTCTATGTCATTGTAAGATGTCATGAATGCTTTCATGTTTTACTTTTTCATTCATGCAATTGAAAAAAACAAATGGGTACTTCCAAATTTTTTTTTTTTTGAAGCAACAAAAGCTTTGGCTAATGTTGATTTTCAAATTTTGAGATGGAAATGAGAAAGACAAATGTGTGATGGGTTGTCATTCATTGTTGCATTACTTTGTATGTAGACTTTCGGGTTTTAAATTAGCATTTGGTTGAAGTTTAATGTGCAAGCTCTTGCTTTCTTTTCTAATGTCCACAGTTGGTGATTTGAACCATTTGATTTCTGCAACCATGTCTGGGGTCACCTGTTGTCTAAGATTCCCCGGCCAGCTTAACTCCGATCTCCGCAAACTCGCTGTAAACCTCATTCCATTTCCTCGCCTTCACTTCTTCATGGTGGGCTTTGCTCCTCTCACCTCGCGAGGTTCTCAGCAGTACCGAAACTTGACTGTCCCAGAGCTTACCCAACAAATGTGGGACGCAAAGAATATGATGTGTGCAGCTGACCCAAGGCATGGACGATATCTGACAGCATCTGCCATGTTCCGAGGAAAGATGAGCACCAAGGAAGTCGATGAGCAGATGTTGAATGTCCAGAACAAGAACTCTTCCTACTTTGTTGAGTGGATTCCCAACAATGTCAAGTCAACCGTGTGTGACATTCCTCCAACAGGTCTCAAAATGGCTTCAACTTTTATTGGCAACTCAACATCGATTCAAGAGATGTTTAGGCGAGTGAGCGAGCAATTCACAGCCATGTTCAGGAGGAAGGCTTTCTTGCATTGGTATACTGGGGAGGGAATGGATGAGATGGAGTTCACTGAGGCCGAGAGCAACATGAATGATTTGGTGTCGGAGTATCAACAGTATCAAGATGCCACAGCTGATGAGGAGGGAGAGTACGAGGAGGAAGAGGAGGAATATAATGACTGAAATGCTTGATTTGGTGATTACTGGGGAGAGAGAGAGAGAGAGACTTGCTGTGTAATAGTAGCACTATAGCTCTGTGAACAGTGGTTGTAAACTCAACATCCATTTATTTTCGAATTGTAGGGGTGATATTGGGTTTACTTGAAAAGAGGGTACAATTTAATGAGAAACAAATTATGTTTTGCCATGAATTTGAAAATCATGTTTCTATTGTTTTCTATTATAATTTCCTTGAAATTTTAGGTATTACTTCTTGATGGCATTGTTCTTTATTGTTTGGATCTTGTAGTGAATTCAATTACCATATTTTGTACTGCCCAAGTCTGGTTTCCTTGCAAACTTTCCTGAGGCACTTGACATATCAAAATTAACCTTAGATTGATAAACAATTTGCAACTTTAATATAGTCTCTAATTTGGAATTATTTAAAACTGACATTTTTTGGGGTTAAAAACTTAGGAGAATAGAACTGGCTGTGTTAGCATGTTTCTTTGACAGAGTTTTGTCAGTTTTGGCTCCTTTGGTAGTGTGTGAACAATAGACTTTGTGATTGATGATGAAAAATAATAAAATTTGCACTTTTTGTATATAGAGCTCAGTATTTTAAACCAGTCAAAATTTATGTTAAGATGTGCACAAATTCATTTTCCCTTTTGTCTTAGTTAGGTCATCTCTAACGTTGTGCCAAATCCATCACCAAATTCAAATTTGGTAAAAAAGTTTATTTTCTTGTGCTCGTATGGTTCCATCAAACTTGTATTAAATTGAGAATATAATAAATGTTTTACCAAATTGACGATGTCTTGCATCTTTCAGTAATTTACTGTGCATAACTGTTGAGTGTTGACCCACCGGACGACCGGCCGGATGTAAATTTGTGAAAAATTTACATTGACCGGTCGACCTCCTGATTAACCGCTCGGTTGACCCCCGGATGGGCACCTTTGCATCTTTTTTTTGACCTGCCTTCTTTGTTGGTTAAAAAAAATCATGATATGAGGCAACCTCTAATGATGCGCTTTAATTTATTAAAGAGGACTTTCACAAACAATATAAACTACATTCTCCAATACAGAAAAGCAATTTAATTAATACATATATACAAATCAGAAAATCTACTTAGCAAATCCAAAAGAAAGCCTTGTATGATCAATTTGTTATAGTCTAGTGAACCAGTGAAGAATCTTGGAGAACTGAAAATTGATGAAGTGGGTCTTTTGTATTTGTCTGTTGGTGATGGTAAAGAGCCACCACAATTCGCCATTAGAGCTCGCTTTAATGATTTCTCTGTTCAAAAACAAACACACAGTTCATGCCATGAAAAACCAAAACCCATATATATATATATATATAAAGAGAGAGAGAGAGAGCACCTAAGATGATATAAGATTGTAGCTAAAAACTGAGAGACCAACTTTAAGCTTCACAGTGAAACAGGGCTTTATTGAACCTAGAAACCAAAAAACCCAGAGTAGAATCAATGAGCTCTATCTCTCATTATGTACCTTTGTGACCTCCATGATCAAAACATGACCCAAAGAAAACAAAGGACTTACTTTTTTCACACTTTCTCGCACTTTCTCTCTCTATTTTCAGAGAAAGAATCGCTCAATTTTCATAATGAAAGTGATCGAATACTATGCATAAACACATAAGAAAAAAAATACAAAAATACAAAAAGCTGGTATTTTTATCACTGCCTTTTTTTGAGTCTGCTTTTGTGACAACCCTTACCTCTGATTAGTGCTAAACTGTGATTGAGTATGTTAAGTAGTTAATTAAGTTGAAACTCTGAACTGATTGCATGAAAATGTTGCCTAATTGCATTTCTATCTGTTTGTCATTAAATGATCTGTTCATGTTTTGATTTCGGACTGTGAATTGAAGGCTTTATCGGCGGCCGAATCATAAATTGATTAGTGTTTTATGCTAGTTAGAATTTATGTGATTTTATGGTAGGTTTAATTAAAATTTGATTTGGAATGATTAATTAGATTAAATAAAGTTAAATTACATTAGTATGATTATTTGCATATTTGCCATTAGTGGGCCACTTTAGAGGCATTGTTTGGTGTGTAATTCATATCACACTTGATACATCATTCCTTCAGCCACTTTCTAGACCATAACCGTGAGAGAGAGGGAGGCGGAGATAGGAGAAAATTGATTTAACAAGAAATTTGGCTAGGAACATTAGAGAAATTGGAAAAGATTGCAAAGTTGAGCTTCCATACCTAGAATTCAAAACCTAAGGTAGGGAATTCATCCTTTTATTTATGTATTTGAGTTGTTACATGCATGGTTCATGAGAAATTAGTGATTTGAGTCAAGAATTAGCTTGATATGTTAAATTAAAAGTCCATTCATGCATGCATGTATATATTCTTGAATTTGAAGTTGTTTTCACGGGAATTTCTTCATGCATGTTCATATTTTGGTAGAAGTCCATGAATTGGTCATGTTCTTGAGCTCAATCTTGCATTTCATCTTGTTTTAGAGCATTGGAATTCATAGGAGCTCATGCATATTATGTTCTTACTTAGTTCATAAAAGTTTCTTTGAAATTGTGTTCAATTGGCTTACCTTTGGGCTTGATTTTACAAATTGATCTTCAAAACATGTTGTATTATGAGTTTCCAAGTGTTTTCCAGAAAATTGGCCCAAAAGGTTGAGTTTTGATGTGTTGAATGCTTGGTTTGAGCTTGGGAGGCAAATCTGGAAATTCCAAATTTTGGCTTCCATGCTTGAGTGACCATTATTCTGTTCAGAGCTCCACTCAAGCGACAGAATGCTGGCCCGAGCGTAGATTGCAAGCTCTCAGGTTTTTGTGCACGCAGATGCACGCTCGAACGACGAGACCTACGCTCGAGCGAAGGGCTGTGTCTCACGCTCGAGCGAGCATCGAGCGGGAATTTTCAACATCCAGTACTTTTGCATTTTACAGACCGCTCGAGCGAAGGACTTTACGCTCGAGCGACCCCTCTGTTTTGGCAAGCTCACTCGAGCGAAGAAAGCCACGCTCGAGCGAGACCCCTATTTTCAGCAAATTTTGAAAAGTGTTTTAAAGTACATCTTTGCATCCTCATTTTATCTTAGGCATTCCTAGGTCATGTTTAATGCATCTTAATGAGGATAATGTTATAGAACCACACCGAGTCAAGCTAAGGGGCTAAGTTATTGTCACGACCCAAACCCGGCCCTATGGGTTTAGCACCGTAACCGGCCAGTAATCTGAGATTACCGAAGGCCTACAGAACAGTAATACAGTAAAACAGAGTACAGGGCCTGGCGGAAGCCAATACAGTAATTAAACAATGTCCAATGAGCTGTGACAGTCTGTATGCCAAAAAGATTTTTCATGCATTCATACATAAACAGTACAGAACAGTATGCACAATATTTACATTCATTCAAACTAGGGACTCAACCCTAGATAGCGGTACAGTGAACAGTCAGTCTATACAACACAGTGAAACAGTACAGAAGGGGGAATTCTTAGAACACCCCTAAGCCTTAGCAGATAGGCTCGGAACCTCGCAGTGAGGCACAAAGGCTGGCTTGACAAAACGGGAGTTACCCTGACGCTCCTAGCTCCGATCTGGTGCCTGTACACCTACATATATATATGAGCAGTGAGCTAAAGCCCAGTGAATAACATAAAGCGTAAAGGGGTTTAGAATGAATGTCCTTACAGTAATGAAAAACAGTTCAATTCAATCAGTATTTCAGTCGTTCAGTACAGTAAACAGTCATATGTGGTACATCCATTAGAATATCAGTAACAGTAGGTCTTAAAAGACTGAACAGTAATGATGGCCATCAGTCAGTAAACAGTAGTGGCTCCACGAGGGAACCGACAGAGATCTCTGTAACAGTAACAGTAACAGTAAACAGTAGGTACTAAGGATGCCACAGTACAGTTCAGAAATAAAGGACATACATTCACTCAGTAAACAATATCAGTTCAGTAAACAGTTCAGTTCAGTATTCAAAAGATATCAGTTGAACATATCTTTACACAATTGTTACTCACAGAGTTCTGGGCTACAGTATGCTAGAGCGTGTCTCCCCAGTCGCCAACCCTACACAGTTAACAGATTGAACACACACTAAGCTACACAGTTGGGAAAACTCATAACTTAATCCCTAATTTGCCTTGGTGTGTTCTACAACGATATCCTCATCTAAATGTCTTAAACTAGGCCTAAGAATGCCTAGGATGGGATGAGGATGCAAAAAAATTTGGGGAAGAAGGTAATGATTGCTGAAAATTGAAGGTGGACGAGGAGGCGACACCGGCGGGAGACGGAGAAGAGGCATGTTGGCAGATCCGTGAAGGCCACTCCCGAAGTTAAAATGGAGGGGAGACAGAAACACCTCACAAACGAGGGAGAGGGTGGAAAGCCAAAGCTTCCAAGTTATTGGATAGCAAAGCAAGGAAAGAAAAGAGAAAAAGAGGGGTAAGGGGAGGGGAGGGGAGAGGAGGCCAAAGGCTGTCGAAACCCCCTCCCCCACCACTGACTACCGCAGCCTCTGAAAACCCTAAGGAAAGAAAAGTCTAGAGAGAAAAGCTCTCAAACGAGAGAGAGAGAGAGAGAGAGAGAGAGAGAGAGATACTTAGGACCTAATGAGCTGCATAATCTAAATCCAACATAAATTAAGAAATTGTTGGTTCTCAGGATTAAAGCAATGGAAGTGCTTGGGGAACAAATGTTGAATCCGTTATGAAGTTTCATTTCAGCCACGTTTCCCAAATTTCAGAATGATTCTTGTGCCATTTTCTCTCTTGTTTCCAACCGTAAATCAATAAATTTAGAAACAGATTATCGCTTGTTATCCATGAGAAAGAGCTCAAACCTTCAAAAACAAGATGAACTCATGGAGTATGACCAAAAGATGGACATGCATGTGAGGCATTATGAACTACAACCTCAAAACTTCAATATATGTACATGCATGTAACACTTAAGCTTCAATTCACCATCTAAACCAGGTTTTGGCTCTAACCTCCATCAATATGACATGAACCATGCAAGATTCAACTTAAAACATGAATAAGAAAATGAATGTCCTACCTTAGTCTTGTGTTCAAGGTCTAGGAGCTCAAAGTAGCAATCAACACTTCAATTCCAAGCAAGATCAAGCAAATCTCTCAAGAACAACTCAACTCTCTCTCACTCTCTAACTTGGGTCGGTTGAGGCAAGAAGAGGAGAAGAAAATGTTTGTTTGATCAATACGTGGAGTGTATACAAGGTTCAAGAGGTAGTGGTCCACTAAGTGGCGGAACGGTAATTAAATCAAACTATGCGATTAATCGAATATTTAATCTAATTTAATCATACCTAATCAATTTTCAGACAATTATACTATAAAATCACATTAATTATGATGATCATTAAACATCAATCAGTTTCTAATTCGGCCGCCAATAAGGCTTTCAATTAGCAGTTTAAACATATAAGTATGAACAGATAATCATACAATCAAACAGATAGAATGCAATTTAACTAACATATACTCAATCAATTCGGTTTCCAATTCCAGTCAGTCAGTTTAGTACTTTAATCAGTTCAATTATCAGTCAGTTATCATTCATTATCAGTTCCGTTTAACAGTAATCGGTGATTATCGGTAATCAATCGGTCATTAATCAGTAAACAGTATGGGGGTTGTTACAGTTATTAATCCCAATAGTGTAACTTAGTGTATGTTTATTCTGCAACTGTGTGGGGTTGGCATCCAAGGACGCTCATTAGCCTGTCTGTAGCCCAGTACTTTGTGAGTAACAATGCTGTAAAGATACGTTCAATTATAACTATTTCTGAACGATTGATTATACTGCTTTCTGAAATGACATCGTTTACTGAATGATTGTTTGTCATATTTGTAAACTGTATTCGTGGCATCCATAGCAACTTACTGTTACTGTTACTACTACTGTTACAGAGATCTCTGTCGGTTCCAATGTTGGGACCACTACTGTTTACTGTTTGATGGCCATCAACTGACTGTTCGGTCTGTCAAGACCTACTGTACTGTTTTGCTATTGGATGTACCACATATGACTATTATGATTTCTGAATAACTGTTATGGCATAAAATATGAGCCACTGATTGAGTAACTGTTTTACTGATACAATTGACTGTTTTAATTACTGAAAGGACATTCATTCTTAACCCCTTTGCGTATATGTTATTCATTGGACTTTAGCTTGCTGTTTATATTTATATGTAGGTGTCCAGGCAGCGGCCCGAAGCTAGGAGCGTCAGGTTAAGCTCCCATTTTGTCAAGCCAACCTTTGTGCCTCACTTTGAGGTTCTATGTCTGTTTAAGCTAGGGCTGCTCTGGGGTGTCTCAGTTCCATCCTTCTGTCTCTGTTTTGTAATAAGTGTTTAAGACTTGACTGTACAGTTTTGTTGAAGGGACTTGGTCCCTAACCCGGATGTTGTGTATATGACGCATGTATATATGTTGGTTTATCAATGTGGCTTATGCATAAAGTCTTTTTGCATTCAGGTTTTCACAACTCATTAGACATCTTTTATTTACTGTTTTGACTTCCGCGCAGCCTCTTACTGTGTATTACTGTCCTTACTGTTAAGCAGGCCTTTGATAATCACGTATTACTGGCCGGTTACGATACTAAACCCATGGGGGCGGGTTTGGGTCGTGACAGCTTTAAGATGCATTTGTTGGTGTCCTTGAGTAGAGAAAGAAAACATTATACCAACAAAAATTGGTTTCTTCATTTCTGACCCAAAACTTCTGTCACAAACACAATCATAATTTCGTATTTTAGTATCTAAATTGATCAAAATCATCCATAAACAGTGAAGAAAAAAAAACAAAGGAAATAATGGCAGAACCTGAAGAAAAAAAGAGAGAAAATCATACAAGTAGTGCACTTGCTAAGCTAGATTGTAGTTGCCCGGTCAACCGGCCGGTTGTCTTCCTGGTCGACCTGTGTTTTGATGACAGCTACAAATTTACCATTGGAGTAGCTGATATCAGATAGAGAAATTTGTGTTTTTTTTACTCAGATTTAGTAAAATATTTGATGAACTATTAGAGATACCCTTATAAAGGTATATGAAATATGTGATAAATACATAAAAAATATATAAAATATGTGTTGAGATATTTTAATATTTTTAATATTATTTGATATATATAAAAATTTAATGAAAGGTCATTAGCAGGATACTTTTACGTTGTATTTGAATAATATTTTTAGGCTTATTTTGGTAATTAGAAAAAAAAAAGGTCAATTTTTTAATTTTTTTTTTAAAAAAACGCACAAAAAATAAAAAGACCCAAATAAGCCAATAAATTGATTTTTTTCCCTTTTGTCAAAATATCTTAGACATAGATTTAGAAAGAAAAAAAAAATTATATTTCATTCACATTTTTTTTTCACATTCTTTCTTTTCAAATCTTTGTGCAAATTCATAATACAAACACAACTTTAGAAAATTTGCAAAATAAAGAGGCTAATCTACAATAATTGATTTTTTTCCCTTTTTGTCAAAATATCTTAGACATAGATTTAGAAAGAAAAAAAAAATTATATTTCATTCACATTTTTTTTTCACATTCTTTCTTTTCAAATCTTTGTGCAAATTCATAATACAAACACAACTTTAGAAAATTTGCAAAATAAAGAGGCTAATCTACAATATAGCTAAAACAATGAGGCTGTTCCATAAAATAAAATAAAAAGTGTAAAAGAAATTCACAGTGTAACCCAACACATTGCGAACCGAAATCAGGGCAGGGAGAGAGAGGGAGAGAGAGAGAGAGAGAGGAGCATCTGAAAATGGCGGCTATGGTCGCGAACAGAGCAGCTTCGGGGGAGAGAACAGCCAGTCTCTGGAGGCTATCGTTTAACTTCCTCAGAAATTTGAGCACTTCTTCTTCTCCTCCCAATGCTACTACTGCTTCTGCAACAAACCCTATAGCTTCGTCGGAGGCGAAGAAGCCAAAGCGCAGGAAGAAGAAGAACTTGTTCGAGGTGGCTCATTTTCTCCCCAACTGGGGAGTTGGATACCACATGTCCAAGACTCATTGGACCAATGTCTCTTATGAGATCACCAAGATCAATCTCTACAAGGTTTGTGGTTTGGGAATCGGATACCACGTCTAGTTTTTTTTATTTTTATAAATTTCGTTTTATGTTTAATTAATTGTTAGAATTTATGTGTACTGTGGTTTTTGCAGGATGGTAGGCATGGCAAAGCTTGGGGAATTGCTTATAAGGATGGTGAGTCTATTTTCGTCTTTTATATGAGTTTTTTGCGTGTTTGACTTCTGAGAAAATTGAGGGAAACTGAATAAACTTTAAAAATTTGAAGTCTTCGCACTTATGGTTCTTGTTGTTTTGGTTTTAGTCGCACGATTTTATTCCTAGCATCTTTAGCCATATGGTTTTATTGGGTTTAGTGGAGAAGAAGGTTTTATTTTTTCAAGTATCAAAAATGAAAATTTAAGGTGTTTCATGACTTGATTATGTTTATTTCTACGGTCTTGCTTGCAATGGAGCATCGGGGTTTTATCATATGTTATTTTTATTGGATGTTTGAATTTTATGATGTTCGGAAATTACAACATGAAGCCAGATATGAAGAACTAGGGAAGAAACAAATGTGATTTGCGAATTTCACTCTACCAATAAAACACACGAGAAAGATCAACTATAAAGAAGGTATCTCACTATCCATTTGCTAAACTTATTTCCATGAAAAGGTTACTCTGGACCTTAGCCAGATTCTAATGATCTTATTTGTCCTACTCCTACGTACGTAAATTAGTAGTCTCCATTGATTACCAGTCTGATCTGGTTGTAAATGAGTGACTGGCTTTCGATACCCCCACTATTAGTGCACTCTCAAGTGGGTTCAATGAGGCTGAGGAGAAACTTATCTGGACCTGGCTTAGTTTGAATCCTTAAAAAACAATGCAAGGCAAGAAAATGCCTATGGTGGTTTCATTTCACTGTCTTTACTTATTTTTGAGAATCCAAGCATAAATATCTTTGATGTTTCCTCAACTCAAACACCAGAAAATCTAAAATCACTTCGATATCACCCATTTGTGATTAGACTGTTGAATTCAAATTGAGCAAGAAGCCATTTCCCTCTGGCAGTGTATGCTGAGAGGTCCTTAAATGATGGGTTTCGGGGAGTAGGTACATACAAATTATGGTTGCATTTTCACTCTCCTTCCATGGAATGTCATAGATCCGTAAATACAGTTGAAAGCTTTGATTTAAATCTGTCCACTCTTCCCCACCATCCTCTCATTCTCTCTGTAACCCCAAATTGGATGTTCTGGTGGTTAAAATTAACCGAATGAAGAAAAAGTCCCTAGTTTTCTTGCAAAACAAATTGATTCCTATGGTTAGTTAATTTCATGATGTTTTTTGTTTTTGCTGGTTTGACTTTGAAGTTGGGAGAGTTCACTTATTGGGTGAGCTGCTTAAGCAGCACTAAAGTAGGAATAAATTTTAGATAGTAGTAGCAGCCAAGAAGCTTTGTGAACAAATGCTGAGGGTGATGTCTAGAGCTTATGAACATTCTGAAGATGTATTTGCCCCACTGAATGTCCCCTAAATTTTTATTTTTTATTTTCAATAATGAAATTCCAAACGAAAAATGAGAGAGAATGCTGCAGTATTAACTATTATGCATGAGGCTACTTCCTCATATGCAAGGGTTGTGAACCCAGTCCAAAAAGTTTTTTTGAAACTTTTCTGTATTAGTCAGTGGATTGAGGGTTCTAGAAATTTGTGAAACCAGTCTATTTTCACCAACCATGTAAGAAAAGGGGAAAGAAAGAGACCAAATTATTGGAGAAGCTTCAACGGGATGTTTTGTGGGGTGGAGGTGGGGAGGGTTTTTATTACCATTTGGTGGATTGGGAGAGGATGTGTATTCCTAAGGAGGGGGAGTACGGGATTTTTTGTGGGGTGGAGGTGGGGAGGGTTTTCATTACCATTTGATGGATTGGGAGAGGATGTGTATTCCTAAGAGGGGTGGGGGGTGGGGTTTGAGCGTGGGGAGATTGAGGAGCGGTTATGGAGGAGGGTGGTGGTGGCTAAATATGGAGAGGAGAGGGGGGGTTGGTGTTTGAAGAAGGTGGTTCAATCTCATGGTCATGGTTCATGGAAGGGGATTTGGTTGGGAAGGAGGGATTTTTGGGGTAGGGTTCAGTCTAAAGTAGGGGTGGGGGATCGGGTTCAGTTTTGGCAAGATTGGTGGTGTGGTGAGATGTCTTTGGCAGGCATGTTTTCTTTGATATATGCTATTGCGGTTGATGGGGAGGAGTTGGTTGTTTCGGTTAGGGTGAGGCAAGGGAATTCAGTTGTTTGGAGCGTTTATCTTCGGCGTGAAGTGCAGGATTGAGAGTTAAGACCAATTGGTGGATCTATTGGGCTTCTTGTATGGGCTGCAGCTTGGGGGGGGAGGGGGTGGATTCTTTGGTATGGGAGGCTCGGAAGTCTAAAGGTGTGTTACATTGTCATCATTTTATGGGGTACTTGTGGGGGGCGAAACAGTTGTGCTTCCTTGGAAGACAATTTGGGTGATGGGATCTCAGTCTAAGGTGGCATTCTTCGTTTGGACAGCTACTTTGGGGCGTATCCTTACTTTTGATAATTTGATTCGGCGGTGCTATGTGCTAGTAAATTGGTGTTTATGTGTTGTAGGGATGGGAAAACGGTGGATCATTTGTTGGTTCATTGCCCGGTTGTGTCTCGGTTTGGTGTTTGATTGCTGCTCTTTTTGGTGTGGTTTGGGTGCAGTCGGGGTCTGTGCGGGGAGTGTTGTTCAGCTGGGGCGGGGTGAGGATGGTTAAAAGGCATCGGAAGGCTTGGTTATTTGTTGTCCATTGCTTGTTATGGTTGGTTTGGTTGGAGCGTAATCGTCGCATTTTTCAGAATTTATGTCACTCAATTCTTTGGGTGGAAAGTAGGCTTCTTATGGTGTTGCATTGTGGGCTTATCGGTTTGGTAGATCCTAATGTCTTGACTTTTGTACATTTTGTGAAGGATTTGATTAGTTAGCTTTTGCGGGCCGGTGTGGGTTGCTGTTTTACTTGTATTTTTTGCATCGCCTTGATATTTTTTTAATATCAGAAGAATTATGAGTGTTGATCACTTAATGTTGGGTTGATTAACTGTTAATGAAAAAATTGCCTCCAGTAATTCTACGAGATTTAACATTTAAGAACTTTTACAAGCATTTAAGAATTTGTGTGATGAGTTCTAGGCGTTCACTTTGTCGTCTTTAGTAGCTACTATGTTTTAATTTTTCTTTTCTAGTCTAGTCCTTTATAGAGGAGATACCTGGTTTGAAATCTGGCTTCTTTCAGACATTCTATTACCAATTTGCTAGTTTATTGTCTGTCTTAATTGTAATCGACTTCAAATTTTGAATTGAATTTAAGTCCATAAATAAGTGCTTGATTACTTTTCTTCTTTTTTTAACTGGTGTTGTTTGCAAAATTCTTTTGAAGATGCAATCTTTTTGAAACAATGCTAGTGCTTCTCTATAATATACGTTATCTGAACTCAACACCTACAGTTTTAGCCTTAGTAAGTAGTCCATAACCTTATAATACAGATCTACCGACAATTTCTAAATAAAGAAATTTATTTTATTGATTATCCTACATTGATACTTAGGGCTGGTGGGTCAGTAAATACTGACATGAAAAGAGTATAAGAAAATAAAATTGGTGGCAAGTAAAAAAAAAAAAAAAGAATTGTCCACAACTTTTGATTCTTTCTACAATTAGATCTTATGTCACCCAAATAAAACCCCATTCTTCTGATTTTGACTTTGATTCCGATAAACTCATTACAAATAAAATAATTAAACTTAATACTCTACTTGATTGAATTTTGATTCAAAGGAAAGAAAGCGTGGAGCTGAAATAACTCACTCGGAGTGCTTTTTAAAGGAGTAATCATGAAAGCTATTTTCACTGTCAAGTGATTAATAAAAAGTTCAAATAGAAGGAAGCCTCCATGAGGTTTCTTTTTTATTTAAAGAAATCTGTGATTGGTTATGGAGGTGGTACTTTGGTGGGTTCCAAGAAAGAAAGGAAGTACCAGATAATTCTATTGCCAAGCTTGCTTTTTGATAAGAAATATAGATTTTTGGTAAAGGGTAGCAATATATTGGTGGCATGGGATGTTAGGGTCTGTATGTTAGTAGTGGCTAAACTTCAAATTCTATGAGCTCAGTCAGATTTCGCACTTTGTTCCGAATACTCCCTGAATTGATGCTTATTGAATCATGCAGGTTCACCAACTGCACCTCTCAAGAAAATAAGTGGAGTTCACAAGCGTTGTTGGAGATACATTCCACACCCAAAGATAACAGAAGAAAGCACCCCAAAACCAGAAGCTCAAGCAGCTTGATGTCATTTCTTTAGTCTTCTTCAAGTTCTAACTGGCCTCTCACATTCTGACGTCTATTCATTTTGGTTGAAGGTTGATGCTATCAAGGCGCAGTCACTGGGAGAGTTTTGGTTAATGAGTTAGTATTCTTCAAGCAATTCTTAGGTCTGGATGATTTGAATTGATGCTCAATGAGCTATGCGATGAAACCCACTGAACTTCGAATTTTTTTTTTTTTTTTTTAAAAATTATGTGCTATTATATAAATTTTTTAGAGGTTTTCATAAATTGACACTGTTAAAATTGTTCAAAAGATTATATTTATCAAAAAAAAAAAAAATTTGTTTGAAAAAAATAATTAATTCTATGTTTATTATATTTTTATACAATTTTTTGTTTAGCATGCATAATTATTAATGGTCAAATATGAATATGAATATGAATATGAATGAGACATATGCATACCATTACAACAATCATTTTGTATGTCACACATTAGATATCATGTAAAAATATGGTGGGTGTAGCCTTATTGATGTAGTAAATATCATGATATCATTTTTTGTGGGATAAATTACAAATACATCTCCTAAGGTTTGTTTAAAATACAGATTATTCTCTGTGATTCGAAAAATTACAAACACCCCCTTGGTATAATTTTTTATTTAACAGAATTAATTAAAAAAATAAAATTCATAATTACTCTCCTATACAATAATAAAATTATTTAAATTATTAATTAAAATATATTTTTAACATTATTAAAAATTATTAATTGATTTGATGATTTATTAAAAAAAGGAACAATTTGTTATGAAGTTAGAAATTTTAGGGAATGGAATGTAATTTTTAAAATTACAGGGGCGATTCTTATTTTAATCTGACCTTAGGGGGTGTATTTGTAATTTATCTTCTTTTTTTTTTTGAATAATGATATTAAAAAAATCATACATAATTTATGTATAAAATGATGTAATTTAATAAAGACTTTTCATTTTAAAATAAAATACTTATGAAGATGCTTTTTATTTATAACATCATATTTGTGATTTTTTTTTTTAATATAAATTTTATAAATAAATAGAATTTATATAAAGAAAGAAACAAAGAAAGAAAGACTTTTAAAGAACAAAATTCTTTAATTCCTTACAAAGGTTTTTTTTTAGTTTTTTTAAGAAGAATTTTTCGTCTCTTCTCTCATTTGATTGATTAAAAATCATAACCTCGTTTATTGAATAAATAGTATATAAGCGGATATAAGCATTATTGTGTAATTTTTTACTAGTTTGAATTAGATTTATGATATTTTAGTATATTTATAATAGATATGTGAAAATTTATTTTGACAAGCGTTCTAGAATTAAAAATATGATGTAATTGTTGGATAATTTTCATTGTAGTTAAAAGATTTAATTCTATTGTGTACACAACAACAATTAGAATTTAAAGAAATAAAGAAAATGAGAGAATTTGTTTGATTACAAAAATTAAACTTGAAATAATAAATAAATAAATAAATAACAGATTTTATTTTGTTACAAAAACAAAATTTAAATATGATTTTAATAAATAAAAACAACACTACAGAATAAAATTAAACAACTTACTTGGTTAATTTATTTGAATAACTTTTCTGATCAAGTCCAGTGTTTAACACTGTGTCCTTAAGACAGATTCGTCCTCTCCACGGTGCTTTCAGAATTTGGACGTCTATCTCCCAAGATAAAATGATCTACTACAAACAATAGCAGCACTACAAATTGTTTGCCTTACGAACACACTAAGTGTTTGCACTCTTTCTTTCAGAAATAAAATGCAACAAAATGAAGAATAGAATAAGCAGAGGTGAAATACGAAATTTCTGAATGAATAACATCAAATGAGGGTAGTCCTATTTATAGATGTAAAGGTAGCTCTTGATTTTAAATTGAACAGGTATGATACCTGTTGGTTTTGAATTCAAACAGATTTGAATCTGTTAATAATTCAAACTAGGGCTGCTCGCGGGTCGGTTTTGGCCGGGTGCGGGTCAAAACCGACCCGACCCGCACTTATGCGGTTGGGGAAAAATGGACCCGCAACCGCCCGCGATGCGGTTCGCGGTTTGTGCGGGCGGGTGCGGTTCGGTTTGGGTGTGCAATAATACCATTCTGTTTGAAAACGGGAAGGGCCCTGTTTGGATGTACAAAAAATCCAAATCAGTTTAATTTGAATTCTGGATTTTATTTTACCAAAAATAAAATTAAATTCAAATGTTTTTTGCCCAAAAAGATTAGAATTGGGCCAAACAAGCCCAACCCAACCACGCACCACGCACCCAAGCCCAAGCCCAAGCCCAAGCCCAAGCCGCCCGATCGGACGACGGCACGAGTGTGTGGTGATTTTTGGGTCCAATGGGTCTAGCCCATTTTGCCCATAACCTCTCCCTTTAAAACACTTGGGTATCTCTTGGGGCATACCCCAAGTACCAAACCCATGCCTTATAAACCCTTTCAAAACTTCCCACCAAATCAATGTGGGACAAGCCATTTTACAACCTTAAGGAATTTCCACCAAAACTCCATTTCCATGGAGCACACTTTGGCTTCAATTTCCCATTCACTCGGTAATGGTTTTGAGCAACCAAATATACCACGTGAATCACAACGCGGCATAGAACGTGTTACCACTTTGACCCGAGTAAATCGACGCTCGGGGCCCACCTAAAAAATAGACCAAACTTGAGGAAAAATTCTGGTTTCACCCAGAATTTTTTCTACCATTTCCAACAGTAATGACATATGAGGTTATACAAAATCTCTCCTAGAGGGTTGGAACATTGGAGGCTAATGAAAGATTTCAAATTCTCCCAAAATGTTTGAGAGAATGCAAGAATATTTTACATAATTCTAAAACTTATACAAAACACTCTAGAGTATATTTTAAATAGTTCTAGAAAGGTTGTAAAAAGTTGCAAGAGAATTTCACACACTATAGTGGCAATGTTGCTTATATGCGCAAGAAATGGTACGAATTATTCGGCCAAATTAGAGATGATTATTTCTCTCACTCTGCTCCGCTCCCACATCCTTGCCTCACTCTGCTTCGTTCCTACATCCTTGTCTTCGCCCCGCACAAGTTTTTCCCTCTCCAATGAGAAAGTGGAGCGGAGACGGATTTTGCTTCTCCTGTCTCGATTATATTTATTAAATATATTTATATGTATATAATATATAATTTAAATGATATCGATGATAACTGATTAACTGACACCACCGAAGAAAATTTTTTAACGACGCCAATATGTAGTAGTATCTTGTGTTTCAGTAGTAGACATGATATTCATGTAGCGACGCAAATTGAGATGCATGGCCTTGGCTTTTATGACTGCACGAATATGGATTGTGACTTTGTCAATCAATTCATGAAACTAATTCCGTTGTATTCAACTCGTCTTTGCTTTTTGATATGATGGTTCAATGGCCAGTTTTGCAACAAAAACAGTTTCTTATTTAGGTTTATGCAATGTATGCTAACTGAACATGCTCCGGACATGGTAGATGGAGAATGAGTTCCCTCTCATCTTGTTAACACAAGCACAATATGCTCAAATTGAGATCCACACCTAGTGTTGGAAGATTATATATATCCCAAAACTTCCATAAACCCTAAAAATAAATTTGTTTCAAATGTTATATTTTTAGGTGAAACATTTGCAATTGCAAAGACATTTTCATTTGTATTTTTATTGTATTATTCAAGGATCTAGTAGTAACTTTTGTTTAGTAAAAATAATCAAATGATCCATACTCATTCAATTGCTACCTATAGTTACGCTTTCATGTGAAATTCATTGATTAGTCATTAGTGGTTATCTGATCATTTGCAGGGCAAGGAGGGAATTGAGAAATAAGTTGTTCACACACTTCTTCTTTTTGTTTGTTTTCAGGTGGGTGGGCCAAGGCAGTCGAATTGAAGGCATTTAGATTATTGTTTATGTTGTTTTACAAACTCTTTTATGCACTGCACCTCATGTGTCTTCCTTTACCAATTGGTATAGGATCTGACTCCCTCTTTTAAAAACAAAATAAAAGAAAAGAAAAAAATTGAAATACCTAAAAATATCACCAGAGAGGAAGAAAATAAAAGGATTCATATAGCTTATAGAGTGGACTTATGTAACTGTTCTTATTTGATTGGGGACACTTGACTTTAGTTTATGTTTGTTATGTAAATTGTTATTAAAATGAAATTTTAATTTCAAGACTTCACCGTTTAATGAGATGAAAGTAAATTTGTGGTTCATTGAAAAAAAAATGAAACATATATTACAAATAAAAACCATCATTTATTATTGTAAGAGAATTGTCATTTCATAAGGGAATTAAGAAACAATCCTTTAACAAATAAGAATTTTGTTGAAAATTTGAGAATCCATCTTAAAATAGGGTCTTTTGGACTACCCAAGAAGGTACAATTGAGGCTTAGAGGTTACCCTTTAAGTTTGTGAATTGGCAAACGGAAAGGAATTCAAAAAATGGGTGGCACTCAACTAAACATGCTTGACTCATTAAAAAAAATATTATAAATTAAATCAACATTCACCAAGTTAAGAAAATAATCAAATCATTAAAAAAATATATTACAAATTAAATCAACATTCACCAAATTAAGAAAATAATCACTACATAGGAAATCTAAGGATAAATTATTCTATTCTATTCCACTTCTATTTTGGTAATAGAGAATCTAGAGACAACAAAAATGTTTTTTTTGAAAATTGTCACAAACACTAGCTTGTTATTTTATTTTAGTTTTTTGAAGTAAGATAGGCTCCACTCAACTTGTGTTTTGGTGACAATTTTTGTGGTATGTACAAGACCTATTTTAGTAAGTCAAACAAGACATTAGGGGCAGTTTGTTTTGGGTTAAGTAGACGGGAGGGGATTAGGATGGTGGAGGTGTTATTTAATGTTGTGTTTATTTGTAGAGTTGGGGAGGAAATTAGGATGGTGGAGGTAATATAGATGGAGGTTGGGGAGGGGATTGAGATGGAGATTGGGGAGTGGTATTAGAAAAATAGTGAGGGGATTAGAAATTTTTTTATTATTTTTATTATTTTTATTTGTTATATATTGGGAATTTTTTTATAAATATTAATGTTTAATTTTTTATATTTTTTTATTTGTTTTATTATTTTATATAAAAATAATTTAACAATTCCTACACTAACAACTATCATAAAAATAAACACAATATTACTTAATCTCCTCACTAACAATCCTCTCACTATTAATCCCCTCACTATGAATCCCCTTATTCTATCTCTGAAAATAAACAGGGCCTAGAACATCTCTAAAAGATTTTTAAAAAGAGATAACTATCGTAACTAACCTCATCCTATTTTCTTTTAATAAAATTCTTCCAAGGTAGCTAAATTTAGAGAGTATTAAGAGAGTATTTAAACAATTTAGGAAGATAAATAGTTAAATTAAAAATGTATATTTTTGTGTACTACCAATGAAAAATAAAGAACAACATTGGGGTGAATAATTACTAAAACTTCCAAACATGTCCCCATCAAAACAGCATGAGGCAACAATTAAGGATTCACATCAAAAACAAGAAAAGACAGCTTTGCTTATGGTTCCCGGCTTCTAAATTCCAATCTCAGCCTACCAAGGCTCTAGTTTTGTCCAATAAACTTTGAAACAACAAAATCATATTAAAATTAAGAAATTAACAAATGAGAAATATTAAGGAATCAACCCTAATCGGCTTCGTTACGATCTAACCACCACTATTTAATTATAATCCTCATTTGTCTACAATTTCATTTTTTTCTTCTTGATTTTCACTACTCTTTCCTCTATATAAACACACCACCTTCTATAGCCAAAATGTGCCATACAAACACTTCTTCTCTTCCATTCATCAGCATATCCCAAAGACTTGAAGCATTTTCAGACATTACATCAGATTCTTTACCATGAAAATGGCAATGATCCTAGTCCTTGTCTTCGCTCTCTTTCTCCAAGGAGCTCTTGGTTAGTGCAGATGCGGCTAAACTTTTTTTGGGTTTAAGGCAAAAAAAATCCAAATGAGGGTTTTTAAAAAAAAAAATATCTTATAAAACATTCATTTTTTTTATACTTTTTGTGGATGTAAAATTACTAATTCTATTTTTTTTTAAAAATTTAACATGTCCTTTTCAATTAGCATTATGACTAATCAACTTAATCTTTTTTCTTGTGACAAATTTTGATTTTTATTTTTACAAAGACTACTGTTACAACTATGTAACTACAAGTTCTATTCAATTTTTTGTATTCTACACATTCAATCCAAAGGAATTACCCCTCCAACAACCACACTCGTGTCACTTTAGTCATTGAAGTATCAATTTGAACAATTATCTCTCAAACTATTGATATTATTAGTTCACTTTATCTGAAATTGTCAACAAAGTAAATTATTTTAACAGAATATCACATTTGTCATAAATCTTCATTTATATTCTATGCAGGTGACATTGTATGTGAGGAGTTGTCCGTTGGATTGTGCTCTTTCTCAGTCGCGTCTACTGGGAAGCGATGCTCGTTGGAGACTTACACTGCGAGTGAAGGAACTGTGGCATACCAATGCAAGACATCAGAGGTGGTTGTGAAGAACATGCCCGAATGGATTGAGAGCGATGTCTGCATTAGTGCTTGTGGTGTTGATAGATATGCCATTGGCATCTCATCTGATGCCCTCCTCGAGTCCCAATTCACAGCTAAGCTTTGCTCGCCAGGTTGTTACTACGGTTGCCCCAACATTGTTGATCTCTACTACAATTTAGCCCTCGGAGAAGGTGATGATCAAAATTTTTATTTGATAAAGCATAGAAACATAAATGTTTTTGAAAACGTTTTGGATTTTTGTGAAAGGGAAAGCATTTCAATCTAGGCATATATATCTACAATCGATTTGTTGTTTTGATTAGCATGAAAGTGGAAAACATTTTGAAAATATTTCAGGAGCAACAAAAGAATTTGAAAATATATAGAAATTTTTGGAACATAGATTGAAATATATCTAAATGTATAAAATGGCTATAATTGATTAATTAAAAATGTTGAAAATTTTATAGTCATTCACATAAAAGAACAAGGGTAAAATAAAAAATAAAAAAAATTCTTTTAGTACTGTCAAATAACAAGTGTAAAATGAAAACGTTTCGGTTGTTATCTGCAGGAGTGTTTTTGCCGGGGTTGTGCAAGGCTCAGCGAACCAATCCACGACGTGCAATGTCTCAGATCCTGAGCTCAGGTGCAGCTTCCGGTCCCGTCTCTGCTGCTGCAGCCGCTGGTGGCCCTGCTTCTGCTGAGGCTGCTGCTGGTCCAGCCTCGGCCGAGTCCCTTGCCTGTTCTCCTGCTTCTATGTGATCCAAGTCAAGTTACAGTATAACATGTCCAACAAAATTACTTTGGATTCATCTATTGTTGTTACATATTACATATTATGTGTATGCAAGTAATACTTGTATAAATGAGTGTATTTATCATTTTATGTGTGATTGATTGAAAAAAAATATATATTATTACCTTTTGTTGCTAGATGAGATATCATTGACTACTTATCACTTGTGATTTCTTTTATATACATATATATATTACCAATTTGAGGAAAATATATCATGAATGGCTGCTATTTGGCTAATGCAAGTGATCAAATAATGTAACTTTCATTGATCATGATTCTTGAGGTATATGTCATAGGACTCACCTAAGAATCAAGGCACCGACACAATAGGAACACATAAGACACATGCAAAAATACAAAATACTGTTGGATTTATTTTTCTAGTGTGGCCTAATAGCCTACATATTTTCCACATGTTTTAATTTATTTGGACTCCACAAATAGATAAAGCCAATATTTGAGATCAAGTTCAGTAAATAGAATTTTAATATAATCACTCTTCTAAGATAAGAAGGAAACCTTGATGGATTAGGAATTCTTCTGATAGAGTTTATCTGGCCCTCTTCTCTCCTCTATATAAGGATGGGTGACTCCCCTTTCATATCATGAGTATTTTTCCATCACTTTAAGTTTTATAGTCATCCTAATTAAGAGAGACAGAGAGAAGAAGGTGAGCCAAAATTAAAGGTTCAACTCTAAGGGGTATTTTCTCAACTTCTCTAATTCAATGGCTGACAAAGGTATATTCGTTTTATTCTTGAGTTGTATTGAATTCAAGATCCTGTAAAGTTTAATTCCGCATTATTATTATGGTTACATGTATTATTAAATCTTACACATTTTTGAACTAATTTCATGGTTTGAACCATTCATTTTTTTAGATTTGTTGAGTAGAATATTCATGCAAAAAAATCAAGATGAATGGATATCAATAGTTATAAGTTTGAATCATATTTTTTTTTAAAAAATAGACGACAAATAAAATTTTAAAAATTACTATTCATTTTTTATAATTCAAATTTGATTTAAATATATAGCTATCGATATCCGATTATCTTTATTTTTTGTATAAATTTTTTACTTAACAAATCTTGAAATATGAACGGTATGGATCATCAAAATGAAACATGTGGTGGGTTTTATAGGCTTCTCAAGTTTATGTTCAAATTCTTCTTTTTTTATTTTATTTTTTTTTATTTATAAATATATAAACAATAAAAATCCTGGAAATAACTTTACATATCATTTTGTGCATAAATAATTTTTGAAAATTCAAAAAATAGTAGTGTTTTCTTAAAAAAAGGTGATTTTTGGAAATAATTTGCACGAAAGTTTTAGTAACAATTTTTGGTTTTCGTTTTTGAGAATGGAAAACAGAACTAAAATCATACCCAAATGCCTAACACACATGAGCAATTATTCTTCTAAAAACTTTATATGGCCACGTGCTCGTTCAATAAAAGTAAGTTATTTATATGGTTTTAAAAAATAAAACGTGAGAAAATCACAAAATATTGTTAGTTGGAAACACTTTCACGTGGTCTTTCCAAAATAATGGACAATTTTTAGACACATATATTTATATATTTGTAGGAAAATTTTATCATACACATTATTAAGGATGTAAGAAAAATTGAAAAAATCGATTAAACTAATTGAAATAGACCGTATCGATTATATTTGGTTTTTTTTTAAAAAAAGAATCGATTTGTGTGATTTTTTAATTTGATTTTTTTTTATTTTCGATTCGGTATCGGTTTAAATACGTTTTGCATTGAATTAAACCGAAACCGACCACTTCAACATGTATTGTCTTTATAATATACATAATCTAATAATTTAATGATATTAATAAGTATAATAAATTATTAAGCTTAATTAATTTATTTTTTTTCATATTTATAACTTTAATTTGTAAACTCTTATTATATATAATCTTAACTATAATTTATTATGACTTGGTTTGAAAAGTGGATTAATTTTTTGGCTATTTTAACTTGGGTTAAAAAGTCTCGTTTGGATAGACTTTTTGACTTTTGTGAGATAAAGAGTGAAATGATTATGATTTAGATGCGACATGTTATCTTATTAACTTTTTAACCTATTTTTATTTTTTTGTAACTATTTTAACCTTTTAGCCCTTAAAACCAACATGCCAAACAAAGGCTATTATTCTTAAAGTCTAGTAGCTTTTAACTTTTTTAGTTTGTTTGTATTTTTGTTAATCTATGAATTAAAAAGTATTTATTAAATGGATAGTTTGGATTTGTTTGAAGTAGTGGACAAATAATTAATTTAATATTTTTACATAGATTAGTGGCTATATTAAAAAGTGACTCAAGTTTGACAGGTTGTAGGCTGATTAAATTTTGTTAGTAAAAATATTAGAAAAAATTATATTTTATTGATAAATAATGCAAAGAAAATGAGATAGAAATAGATTAGGCTGAGGCACGTATATCTCGTTTTCAGCAGTCATAAACTATGACTTGTCACCTCCAGGATACAACAGCCGGACCACTTGTCGTATGGTTCGAGCCAACTCTACACAAGATAGTGAACCCAAAGCTCCACTAAGAAAAGCACATTTCTTTGCTAGTAATCTCTCTTGTATAGAAAATAGTTGGTGAGTTGATTTGTTGTTGTTAAAGAAAAGAGTAGAAGAGGGAACTATTTATAGGCCTCAAGGACATTACAAAATACATCAGCAATAACAATGGCCAAGAACCTAGAGAAAAAGGGAAAATGTATCCAAACATGAATTCACCACCAAGTTCATGAATTCAAATAAAACTCCATACATGAACAAGATAAAAAGACACCAAAATAATGAATCTCCATTCATAAACAAGATTAAATTCATGAATAAGAACAAAGGAAGATTCATGAACAAAATGAATAAATAAATAAATGATATTAAAATGAACCAACAGTATTACTTTCTGATTTATGATTAAATAAGAGTTTCTGGATTAATCTTAAATTTTAATTTTTTGATTACATCATTGTGGTTGATTTTCTAAGAATAGAAATTTCATGGGTTTAACATAAATTTTTGAATCTGTTGAATCGGTGTGACTTTTCAATATTGTTATATTGTTATTGCAATATTGTGTTTAGTTTCAGTTATTTATTCTGGTTTGAATACATGATCGGATAATTTTCAATATAAATTTTTATTTTGTATTTTTTGATTTGTGTAATTAGAATTTTTTATTCTATTTTCTGGGTAATCCGTTGTATACATTATTCAGTCTTTTTAGAAACATAAAACGTTTCTGGTTTCTGAGTTTTATATATAAATTTTAGAATCTGGTTTTACAGTTTTTGAGTTTTCTAATAAGGAAAAAAAAAAATTGTTTTTCATCGCTTTATTTATATTCCTGCATTTGTGGTTATCATATGTTTCGGATATTTATATAGTTTTTCTGTTTTGGTTAAACAATTTTGTCAAAAACAAAATAAAATAAAAATAAAAACGTTTCTTGGGTTTGTAAAACATAAATTTCCATGCTTTATATGAAATACATAATTTTTAATATTTTGCAAGAGATTTGTAAGTCAAGTGTCTTACCAACAGAATTGGTTTCTGTGTTATGCTAATTGGTGTGCTGCATTACATGTTTAATGGTGAAGTGGGTATTCTGAATAAGATAGGTTTTTAATCGTTATTAGACAAATTATTTTATAGACATGATAATTATTATGTCTAGTCTTTGCCATGCCTCGCGTAGTAATTACTATTGATTCATGGGCGTACTAATTTTTAACATTTCTAATTAATTTGAAATGAGTTTTTTGCCATGAAATTCTTACGGCATATTGTGTGATATGTGTTATTTTTTGATTGATTTTATTCTAGTACTAATTTTTAACATTTCTAATTAATTTGAAATGAGTTTTTTGCCATGAAATTCTTACGGCATATTGTGTGATATGTGTTATTTTTTGATTGATTTTATTCTAGTACTAATTTTTAACATTTCTAATTAATTTGAAATGAGTTTTTTGCCATGAAATTCTTACGGCATATTGTGTGATATGTGTTATTTTTTGATTGATTTTATTCTAGTACTAATTTTTAACATTTCTAATTAATTTGAAATGAGTTTTTTGCCATGAAATTCTTACGGCATATTGTGTGATATGTGTTATTTTTTGATTGATTTTATTCTAGTACTAATTTTTAACATTTCTAATTAATTTGAAATGAGTTTTTTGCCATGAAATTCTTACGGCATATTGTGTGATATGTGTTATTTTTTGATTGATTTTATTCTAGTACTAATTTTTAACATTTCTAATTAATTTGAAATGAGTTTTTTGCCATGAAATTCTTACGGCATATTGTGTGATATGTGTTATTTTTTGATTGATTTTATTCTAGTACTAATTTTTAACATTTCTAATTAATTTGAAATGAGTTTTTTGCCATGAAATTCTTACGGCATATTGTGTGATATGTGTTATTTTTTGATTGATTTTATTCTAGTACTAATTTTTAACATTTCTAATTAATTTGAAATGAGTTTTTTGCCATGAAATTCTTACGGCATATTGTGTGATATGTGTTATTTTTTGATTGATTTTATTCTAGTACTAATTTTTAACATTTCTAATTAATTTGAAATGAGTTTTTTGCCATGAAATTCTTACGGCATATTGTGTGATATGTGTTATTTTTTGATTGATTTTATTCTAGTACTAATTTTTAACATTTCTAATTAATTTGAAATGAGTTTTTTGCCATGAAATTCTTACGGCATATTGTGTGATATGTGTTATTTTTTGATTGATTTTATTCTAGTACTAATTTTTAACATTTCTAATTAATTTGAAATGAGTTTTTGCCATGAAATTCTTACGGCATATTGTGTGATATGTGTTATTTTTTGATTGATTTTATTCTAGTACTAATTTTTAACATTTCTAATTAATTTGAAATGAGTTTTTGCCATGAAATTCTTACGGCATATTGTGTGATATGTGTTATTTTTTGATTGATTTTATTCTAGTACTAATTTTTAACATTTCTAATTAATTTGAAATGAGTTTTTGCCATGAAATTCTTACGGCATATTGTGTGATATGTGTTATTTTTTGATTGATTTTATTCTAGTACTAATTTTTAACATTTCTAA